TATATATATATATATATATATATATATATTTATACATAACGTTAGTATAAGAAGCTTAACAGCTGTGCACATTTTACTTACCCCTGCATAGGTTGCGATAGATAATGGAAACATATTACCCGCCTTCAACCCACACGGAACATTACTTCTGTATAGAGTTATTATCAACAAAGTTTTTAATCTAGGCGAGAATTTGTACCATTCTGCAGCATATCTGTAATCATAAATCAATAACAAGCTTTAATTGAATTTTTTAAATAACATTTATTAAAAGATAATTTGTCAAAATTAAAGTAGTTGCAAAAGTATTACACGTTAATATTTTGTGCGTTAATTGTATTTTTTAATTATGTTCTATTGAAAGTATTTTAAGTCAAAATTCAATTGAATTTTTTGTTCAATATATCTGACAAGTGCTTATAGCTAAATTATTGTTAATTTTGTTTAAAAGAATTATTATAATCGTCAATGCACGTTAAGGTAAAAAATAATTATTACGCTCCATGGAATATACTCTGACTTTCGTCCATTATTCTTTGACCAGAGTAACATACAATCATCAAAGTCACCAGACATGCTGTGAATATAAACGTGAATTTTATCACTTCCCCTACTTGATTTAACACATAAATGATCTATAACAAATTAAAAGTATTACATTATCGAAAACATAGTTATATTTCTATTCGCGATAATAAAATTTTACTAACAATAAGACAAAATTTTATAATTCTATATAATACGTAGAAAATTAAATTTAAGACGTATAAATTTAACAATACAAAGTTTAATATCAAAGATATAATTACAATTTTCTACTTTTATCAATATTGAGCAAATTTTTATTTTTTATTTTATTCTAATCAACATTTTTGTGTACAAATTTGACATATATATTTTTTACTCATCAGAACTTAGTCAGCTTAGTTTTATTGACAATATTAAAACGTGAATTGTTAGAATCTATATATAAGTTTGAAAAAGGAAGTCACATATAAAGAAATTAACTCGATATAGAAGATAGAAAAGGGAAAAGTCGAATGTATATTAAGCTATCTAAGCCAAATTATCAGAACACAAAAAATTTTACATGGAATTAATTTGCTAATTATTTTATTATTTTTTACTTTTAAAAGTAATTTTTTTGCTCCAGCTATTAAAAAGTTACGAAAGACTGAATAGCTTAATCTTAAGCTATCCAGTCTTTCGTAAATTTTTAATAATGTGAGCAAAAAATAACAAAAAAGTAGCAAATAATTTTGGTATTATTAATTTTTTGCTTTGACTTATGTATATGCTGTTTTTTATAATAGCGTGGCAGCTTAATCTTAAGCTATCCAGCTCTTCGTTTTTAATAGCTGGAGCAAAAAGTTACTTTAAAAAGCAAAAAATAGCAAATAATTAGCAAATTAATTGCATATAAAATTTTTTGTGTTCTAATAATTTGGCTTAGATAACTTAATATACCTAAAAGTCGACTATATTCTAATTTTGGTTCTTTTGTATGATTTTGTGAGACATTTATATTTCATGACATTTTATGTGAATGATTTCTAATACGTACTCGAACTGCAATCAAACTTATAGTTCCAATAAGCAAAGCTAACAAAAGTAGTGAAAGCCCTTGATATGATGACTCCAATGTATTAACAAACCTAAAATAGAAATTATATAGAAAGAGAGAGAAAGAGGGCGGGGGGACATTTTAGATAGAGAGATAATTAAAAAGTAGTTTAACAAGATCTGCTTACTCTATAGCAAGTTGATGTTTCTTTAAACATATTATGTATTCCCGGTAAATTATTTCCTCATTTAATAGATTAAGTTCCATATTTGTACCGTGTCCACGTACGCTAATTTTATTTTTATTATTCGCGTTCGAAATTATATTCTCAACCTGTTTACTGTAAATATGATACCTCGCAAAAGTTAAATAAAATATGTGTATATATAAGAAATACACGAAATATATATGTATATATATATATATATATATATATATATATATATATATATATATATATATATATCATAAAACACATGTGCGAAAAATATATATAAAATTAATGTGTTTTAAAATACTTATAACAATATTAGTATTATATTATATATTATGTATACCTTACATGCATTTTAATTATAATCATATCTGCAATGGATGTACCTGATAGCGGCAAATAAACTACATGCATGAGCGGTGCATGCGAGGTGCATTGCATCAACGCCCATCACGACGTTTACACCCACCGCAATTGTAAAAGCAGTATAACAATAAATTGGTAGAAAATAATCATCTTTATTCAGCCTGTAACTGACTTCGATTGCAAGAAATCGAGAACGTGATTCGTTAAGAGGCATCACGATGTCTAGCAATATTGGTGTTAATGGTATCAATGTCAATATTGACATTATGCTAAACATTAACGCTACAATATCCCGAAAAAGAAGTGCTTTTAATAATATTTAATCTAAAGTATTTATACACACACAATTATTTGGTTTCTCTTTAGACAATCTGTTATTAAACGTTATTAAACGTTTGAAATACTTTACTAATCAAACGCTTTTTTTCTTGGATAAAAACTTTAATTATATTACTCTATTCTGTCATGTGGCCCTACATTTAACATCATCGTTGCAATGTAACGTGTACTTACTCGAGTAATATTTCGTAAATTTTCGTGACAGCATGGAATAATCTTTCATGACTCGAACTTCCATATCGTTCGTAAATATGTTCCAATGCTCGTCAATAGCTTGGTACAACCATCGCAACTGATTGCAACAAACATGGAAACGGTTTAACATGTTAGGTCTGAAAATAGTTTTACCGCAGTAAACGTAAGTAAAAAAGAAAAGCAAATGTAACGCGTTATAGTTGTAAAAACTTGCCTTATCGTGATTCCAAAACTCATTCAGTTGTCGCCCAGCGAAAGAGATCGACATCACAAGTTGGTAGCTGGCATCAAAAACCATTTGTGGATTGTCCCAATGATCGTACAACAACATTATCTGCACGTTGGATCGTCATCCGTAAAATATTATAGTTATACACGATTAATTAAATGAGAACTATGTTACTTTTGTGTGTACGTTTAATCAGTCATTAATTATTATATCAAATATGTTACGTTATACACTTTTTATGATAGAACACATATGTAAGACTTGTCGACGATACAGTATACATGTGTCAATACAATAAAAAATAGGATTTAAAATTATAAACATAAATGTGTATTTCTTCGATTTAAAATATGTTGGTCCGTGCGCGCATTACCTCGAAGGGAAGGTAACTTATTTCGAGCAGAAAGAAGAAAGTTCGCAAACAATTTCTCACGGATTTTCTTTGAAACGGCCAAAGGCCTATGGGCGACAAAAATACCCGGTTGACATTGTATTCTCGCAGAAAATTCTCTAGCATGATTATTCGTCCTGGTTCCCCATTGAAAGACGACAACAGAATGACGCTTGTGCTACGTATGTTATTGATTTCTCAGCGTACAAGTCTTAGTGCGAATAACACAAAATTGTAGAATGTCCGCGATCGTCACTGTCAATTCATCAATTTGCGAATGTCAGAGTGTATTTAACACTAAACCATCGCTTTCTTTATTTTTGAAATATTGTTTATTAGACCCTTTTGCAGAGTGACACGACATATTACAGTATGACATGTTATAATGTTATTCGATTGCGTGATACAATAGGAAATTGACGGGTGACTATAATAATAATGTAGGCGCGTGTGCTGGTTTCATCTCTTATTTATGTCTGTCTCCTGTTTGCTTGCAAGAGTATCTTGTAGGAAAATAGGAAACGGTGAGATATTTTAAGAATAACAAACTGAGTCGAACTATAATAATCCAAAGGAATAAAGAAACTTGCAAGATATACAGAAAGCAAAGATTATATTCAAAGATTTTTTACAAAAATAATGATATTGAATATGATATTAACATAAATATAATATTAAAATATTGTAATATTTAAATGATAATTGATCGATGAAATTAATACAGAAAAATAGCATAAGCAAATTGAGTTTATAATAGATTAATTTAACACAACTAACTGAATAACGAAATGTTATGTTAGGCGAAAAGTGTACTTAGCGAAAAGCGAAACAGCGTAAGGAATTGCTGATTGAATACAACTATAACTTATCAAGTAAGTAAACAATATCTTAAACCTCTTTAATAGTTTATTGGCATTGAGACGAAACGAAGATCGGTGAAGAACTAATTGAACACTCAGTAATCAGTCTTGTATTGATAATAACGCTGTGAGGTAAGACATAGACATTCGTACTACCTTAAAATGAATGAATAAATTATATTACAGATTAATGTACATACACTGATCGGCAGGAATGCCTGGACATTTTGATATGTATAATGTACATATATGACATATATGTAAATGTATATGTATATGTATTATGTCTAGGCATTCTTGCCGGTAGAGTGTATAACATTGTCATAAAAAAATAACTTTACAATATTTTAATTACCTTTGCATAAGTCGCGATGGATAACGGAATCATATTGCCTGCCTTTAATCCGCACGGTACATTACTTCTGTATAGAGTTATTCTCAATAATGATTTTAGTCTAGGTGAGAACTTGTACCATTCTGTAGCGTATCTGCAATCATAAATTCAATAATTGACTTTGTTATTTTAAAAAAAATATGCTCAAGTGGAAAATGTATATATTTTTTACAAGATGCAAGTATGTATAATATGGTAGACATAAGAATTTATTAAAAAATAATTTCTAAGATTTAAAGTACTTAAGTTATTTATAACATATTAATCGAATTTTTTAATTACGTTTTATATTAAAACTTAATATTTTAATTATATATCATGAATGAAACTTAAATTAAAATTTACATTTAAAGATCTTATGCTGTGCCCTGTGCCTGTAGAAAAACTTATTGCTTTATATAATTCTGTTTAAAGAAAAACTTTATAAACTCTATATAATATGTATGTTAAGATGTAAAATAATTATTACACTGCATAGAATATATTCTGACTTTCATCCATTATTCTCTGGCCGGAGTAACATGTGATCATCAGAGAAAACAATGTTGATGTAAATACAAGGACAAATTTTATCAATGTTCCCAATTGATCTAATACATAAATGATCTATAACAGATTAAAAGTATTACGTATTCGTAATATATAATTATATTTTTACTTAAAATAAAAAAAACACTAATTTTACATTGCGTAAAAATAAGATTTTCGTATGAAAAGAGTTTACAGCTTTTATTTGCGGTAAAAAAATTACATATTTATAAATTTTATATAAAAGAATTTAAGTTAGACATGGAAATCCAGCTATTTTACAATTTTTATTATTTTGTATGATTGTATATTTATATTCTCTATTAGAGGAGAAAGTCATGTCATATGTAGGTATACAATTATAATACATACTCGAAGTCCAATCAGACACAAAATTCCAATAAACAATATCAATATAGCTAATGCACATCCTTGATATGAGGAATTTAATATGTCCACAAATCTATAGAATATTAACACATTGAGTATAAGTAAAAATATTATATTAATGTCATGAAAAAGACGATGATTTGTCAAAAGTTACTTACTCTATAGCAAGTTGATGTTTTTTTAAACATTTTATGTATTCCTGGTATATTATTTCTTCGCTTGATACACACAAATCAAAATTTTTATTTATACTAAACTTATTTTCCCTAATATCATTGTTATTGTCGTCCACTTTTAACATTACATTTTCGATTTTCTTACTGCGAAATAAATTTTACTATACTTTTGTGGAATTCAAATAGAAAACATAACAGGTAGCATATATATATATATGTATATATACCGGGTGTAACAAAAAGGTCGGGACTCTGGATTATCTCGACTTTTTTGTTATACCCGGTATATATACATTTGCGGAAAATATACATAAAATTATAATCTTGTTTAAATAATAATAATATTATTATTATTACATACATTATGCGCGTGTTATTTTCATACTTTATCTGCTTACCTGACAGCCGCAAATAAACCACATGCATGAGCAGTGCATGCAATATGCATTGCATCGACGCCTAACGTGATGAATGCACCCGCCACAATTACAGCAAAAGTATAAAAAAAAATTGGTAGAAAGTAATCATCTTTATTCACCCTGAATTCGATTTCCATCGCAAAGAATCGCGGACGTGATTCATTAAGTGGAACTATTATGTCTAGGAATACTGGTGTTAATGGCATGATCATAAGCACCAATAATATAGAAAAAAATAGCACTGTAATATTATGAAAGACAGATGTTTTATTCTTTCAAGAATATTAATTTATAAAGCAGTTTTTTCAAGTTATCACAATTTAGTTCGTCTAAACGAATCTGTACTTAATAAGAATTTTTTCAAATTTTATTAAATTTTATATTAAATTCTACTAAATTTTATTATGCTTTCATAATACGTTAATTTCTAGTAGCAAAAATTTTCCCAATTGACATTATTCTTAAATTATGAAATTTTTTATACATATTACATTAATCAATCATCAGCATATGATATTAATGCTCCATTCATAGCAATATGTACTCACTTGTATAAAATTTCACAAATGTTTGCGATAACATAGAATATTCTTTCATGATTTGTATTTCTATATCATCCGTAAATATATTCCAATGGTTGTCCATGGCTTCGTACATCCATCGCATCTGATTACAATAAATATGAAAGAACGATTTAACACATGTATTATATAGATATAACATGTACATCTATATAAAAACTAACGCAATTTTTAAAATATACCTTGTCGTGGTTCAAAACATCTTTTAAATGTCTCATGACAAAAGCAGTTAAGATTAAAGTTTGATAACCACCTTCAAAAATCAATTGCGCATCGTCCGGATGATCGTAGAATAGTAATATCTGTATATAACATGGAGTCATTATTCATAAATTTATATATATATATATATATATATATATATATATATATATACACACACATTAATTATTATATAAATGCGATTAAAATGGAAACTTGACGCATTTCTCTGATTAATCGTTAATTGTTATATAAAATATATTACATTGAAATCTATAATTTATGTCTTAAAAACACACATGTACACACGACACGTACAATATATTATTATACATTTGTTTATTTACATTATATATATTTATATATATTGTACGATAAAAAATAATAATTAGCGTTATAACAATTTTTCAACGCTGATTAGAAATAATTGTTGTCATAATGTAATGTATCGATGAATGCACGCATTACCTCGAAAGGATAATAACTTATTTCGAGCAAAAAGCAGAAAGTCCATAATAAACTTCTCACGAGTTTATCCTGATACGGCCAGAGACCTGTGGTCGACAACAATATCCGGTTGATATTGTACTCTCGTAGAAAATTTTCTAACATGATTATTCGTACCTGAATGTCCAAAGACTAACAACAGAATGAAGCGTGGCACTCATGCCATTGACTCCTCAGTGTAAAAGTCGCGGCAGAAATAACACGAAATTATAGTATGTCCGGAATCGTCACTGATGGCAGAGCGTGTCTAAACCGCCACTTTCTTCATCTATGAGATAACGTTTATTGATCACTTTGTAGAGTGGCATGTGATAGCAGTGCTATTACATGATACAACACGAAATTGACGGTGACTATAATAATAATATAAGCGCGTGTGCTGGTTTCCTGTCTTATACATGTATCTTTCTTCTGTTTGGTAGAATATTTTACTGTTAGTTTTAAGTACTTCGACTGCACGCATAGAATTGAGTTCACCTTTACAAACAGGAAATGGGGTAAGGAAAGAAAAACAAGCTTACAGTTGAATTATAATATACCATAAGAATAGAGAAAGTAAGAGAACATACATACAGAAAGCAAAGATCAATTTTAAAGATTCACAAAGCTAAGAAAAGTAATGATATTAACATGAAAAATATAATATCAAATATAAAAAATCAATATCATTTTAAATATTTAAGGAATAAGGAAACTCAATAATTGACCGATAAAATTAATGAAGAAAAGCACATAGCATAAATAAACTAGCTTTTTATAATAGTTTAATTCATAATACAACTACTGAATAACAGAATACTGTGTTTAATGAAAATCGCATAAGAAGTATCTGTTCGGATAAATCTTATAATTGCATTATTGAATAAATATAGCACTACAAATCTCTTTACTACTAATTTCTTGTCATTGAGACAAAACAAAGATGTATCGTTGAAAAACTAATTGAACACTCAATAATCATTCTTGCATTGATAATAACGCCGTGTAGTAAGACATAGACATTCGTAACACCTTAAAATGAATGGATAAATTATATTGGAGATTAATATACATAACATTGTCATAAAAAAGTAACTTTACTGTATTTTAATTACCGTTGCATAAGTCGCGATGGATAACGGAATCATATTGCCTGCTTTTAATTCGCATGGTGTACTACTTCTGTAAAGAGTTATTATCAATAAAGATTTTAGTCTAGGTGAGAACTTGTACCATTCTGCAGCATATCTGCAATCGTAAATTGAATAATTAACTTCAAGTTAAATTTTTAAGGGAAATTATTCTCACAAGTGGAAAATTGAAACAATTTTTTCAAGATGCGATTGTTAGTACGTGTAACATGATAAATACTTGAAAAGAATTTATTATTTTTTCAGGAGATATTATGCTGAAGGGGAAAATTAATACAATTTTTCCAGACGCGATTGTCATTACGTATAATATGACAGATGTGTGTGAAAAAAATTTATTACAAAAGAATTTTTAAGATTACTTAAGATTACTTAATTAAAAATTACAAGATTATAAAGTACTTAAATTATTCGTTGCTTTTATATTAATCAAATTTTTAAATTATGTTTTTTATCAAAATGTTTTAAATGGCAGTGGTTAAATTAACGTTTACGTTTAAGAGATCTTATACCATGCTTATAGAAAAAATTATTGCTACATAATTCTGTTTGAAAAAAGCTGTATAAGATCCAATACGTGTGTATAGTATAAAACAGTTATTACGCTCCATGGAATATGTTCTGACTTTCATCCATTATTCTCTGACCGCAGTAACATGTGATCAATACACTACCAATACATCCCACGAATATAATCACAAGCTTTATCACTGCTTCCAATTTATCTAATACATTTACGATCTATAAGAGATTAAAAGTATTGCATAACTATTCGTAATATATAATTACAATATTTTAAAAATAGAAAGTCTTAATCTTGTAGTATGAAAATATTAATAATAACATTTTGTATATTAAGATTTATTAGACATTTCAATAAATTGCGTTGAAAAAATTGTACAGTCGCCGTCAATAATTCCTTTCCTTGGATAAGGGGGGAACATAAGAATACCTCAGGAAAGGAATCATTGGCGGCGACTGTACATATAAATAAAAATTTAATTAACCAAAAACAAGTCGATCTCAAATGAACAGGAAATATCGAAATCCAACTATATTATAGTTTTTATTATTTTACATGATTGTAAATTTATATTTTATATTAGAAGAGAGTATATTACATGTTATATGTATATGCAATTATAACACTTACTCGAAGTCCAATTAGATTCACGATTAGAATAAGTATTATTAATTGAATCACTGCATATCCTTGATGCGATGAATTTAATACATCAACAAATCTAGGGAATAGAAATAATGTTAGCAAATTAACTTTTGAGCATAAGCTGTAACATTATATCAATATTAGAATACAAAAGACAAATTAACAAACAATTTCACCAAAATTGCTTACTTTATAGCAAGCTGATGTTTTTTTAAACATGTTACGTATTTCCAGTATATCATTTCTTCGCTTGATACACACAAATCAAATTTCTTATTTATACTAGACTTATTGTCCCCAATATCATTGTTATTGTCGTCCACTTTTAACATTATATTTTCGATTTTCTTACTGCGAAATAAATTTTACTATAGTTTTGTGGAATTCAAATAGAAAACATATAGCACGTGGCATACATGTATATTATATATATGATGCATTTACGGAAAATATACATAAAATTAGAATCTTGTTATATTATTATTATTACATACATTATGCGCGTGTTATCTTCATACTTTATCTGCTTACCTGACAGCCGCAAATAAACCACATGCATGAGCAGTGCATGCAATATGCATTGTATCAACGCCTAACATGATGAGTGTATTCGCCACAATTAAAGCAGAAGTATAAAAAAAAATTGGTAGAAAGTAATCATCTTTATTCATCCTGAATTCGATTTCCATCGCAAAGAATCGCGGACGTGATTCATTAAGTGGAATTATTATGTCTAGGAATACTGGTGTTAATGGTATTATTATAATCGCCAATAATAAAGCAAAAGCATACACTGTAATATTATGAAAGACGGATGTTTTATTCTTTCAATAAAATAATTTATAAGGCAGTTTTCAAGTTTTCACCGTTTAGTTTGTCTAAACGAATCTGTACTTAAGTACGTTCTCCGGTCCTTATACTAGAGAAAATCGATTTTCTTAGGATTTTCTTGAAACTGTGAATATACGTTAATTTAGGTGTGTTTTAATTTAATGCGTGGTATAAATTTCAGTACCTCTTCCGGGATAAAAAATCAAGATACTGAGCCTCAAAGTTTCAACTTTTACTAATGAAAAGGTTTTCCAGGCTAAACGGTAAGAGATACGAGGTTGGGCAAGAGGACCAAAGTTGCTCCTCTCGTCGAGTTCTATAAGGAAAAAATGCCAAAACTAAAAAAAATTTTTTTAACTTTGAGGCTCAGTATCTTTATTTTTTATCCCGAAAGAGGTACTGAAATTTATACCACGGATAAAGCACACCTAAATTAACGTATATTCACAGTTTCAAGAAAATCCTAAGAAAATCAATTTTTTCTAGTATAAGGCCCGGAGAACGTCCTCAATAAGAATTTTTTCAAATTTTATTAAATTCTATATTATAAATTCTACTAAATTTTATTTTGCTTTTATAATATGTTAATTTCTAGTAGCAAAGATTCTCCCAATTGACTTTATTCTTAAATCGTAAAATTTTTTATACATATTACATTAATCAATCAGCATATGATATTAATCCTTTATTCATAGCAATATGTACTCACTTGTAAAAAATTTCACAATTGTTCGCGATAACGTAGAATATTCTTTCATGATTCGTATTTCTATATCATCCGTAAATATATTCCAATGTTTGTCCATGGCTTCGTACAACCATCGCATCTGATTGTAATAAATATGAAAGAACGATTTAACACATGTATTACATAGATATAACATATCTACATAAAACCTAACGCAATTTGTAAAATATACCTTGTCACGGTTCAAAACATCTTTTAAATGTCTTATGGTAAGATCAGTCAAGACTAGAATTTGATAACCACCTTCAAAAATCAATTGCGCATCATCCGGATGATCGTAGAATAGTAATATCTGTATATAACTTGGAGTCATTATTCATAAATTTATATATATATATATATATATATATAGTAAATGTTTACAATTAGGGCCTGACCTCCGATGACTTTGACCTTGACATATGTTGTCAAGGTCACCCTCCTGAGTGACCTTCAGAAGGTTTTAGTCGGGGGTCGCTTCTTATTAAAAAGTTATAAACAAAAAAGTTTCGAAAATATAGCAGTTATTTTAAGTACTGAGAGGCATAAACGACTAATATTACGTTTTTCTTTAAAGCAGAGAATACTTTATTTCGCGAGAAAGTCGCTGCTTTACCAAAATACAACATTTAAAGCAGTAAATTGTTGATAAATTGAAGTCTTTTTGTTAAAACAGAGAATACTTACATGGGTTAGATGACGCGCTTTAAACAGTTGAACACTCAAGTGTAATACATAATGTAACTTTAAACATTTGAAAACTATTTTAAAGCGCGTCATCTAACCAATGTTGCGCGGAGGTTGTTGCGCCTTGACTTTTGTGTGAGACTCCGTTCGAACGCGAATCAATCGCAAACGGACTTGTACACGGGTGTCGCGCGCGCGATATATATATATATATATATATATATATTACAAATGCGATTAAAATGGAAACTTTACGCATTTCTCTGATTAATCGTTAATTGTTATATAAAATTAATAAAATATGTTACATTGAAACCTATAATTTATGTCTTACAAACACACATATACACGACACGTGTAATATTACATTTGTTTATTTATATTATATATATTTATATATATTGTACGATAAAAAATAATAATTAGCGTCATAACAATTTTTCAATGCTGATTAGAAATATTTGTTGTCTCAATGAAATGTATCGATGAATGCACATTACCTCGAATGGATAATGACTTATTGCGAGCAAAAAGCAGAAAGTCCATAATAAATTTCTCACGAGTTTATCCTGATACGGCCAGAGACCTATGGTCGTCAACAATATCCGGTTGATATTGTACTCTCGTAGAAAATTCTCTAACATGATTATTCGTACCTGAATGTCCAAAGACTAACAAAAGAATGAACCGTGGCACTCATGCCATTAATTCCTCAGTGTAAAAGTCGCGATAGAAATAACATGAAAGATGGAAATTATAGTATGTCCGGAATCGTCACTGTCCATCAATTCGCTGATGGCAGAGCGGGTCTAAACCGCCACTTTCTTCATCCGTGAGATAACGTTTATTGATCACTTTGTAGAGTGGCATGTGATAGCAGTGCTATTACATGATACAACACGAAGTTGACGGAGACTATAATAATAATATAGGCGCGTGTGCTGGTTTCCTGTCTTATTCATGTATCTTTCTTCTGTTTGGTAGAATATTTTACTGTTAGTTTTAAGTAATTCGACTGCACGCACAGAATTGAGTTCACCTTTACAAACAGGAAATGGGGTAAAGAAAGAAAAACGAGCTTACAGTTGAATTATATAATAATCCAAAAGAATAGAGAAAGTTAGAGAAGATACAGAAAGCAAAGATCAATTTTAAAGATTTACAAAGCTAAGAAAGTAATGATATTAGCATGAAAAATATAATATCAAATATAAAAAATCAATATCATTTTAAATGTTTAAGAAATAAGGAAACTCAATAACTGACCGATAAAATTAACGAAGGATAGCACATAGCATAAACAAACTAGCTTCATAATAATTTAATTTATAATACAACTACTGAATAACAGAATACTGTGTATAATGAAAATCGCATAAGAAGTATCTGATCGGATAAAACTTATAAATGCATTATTGAATAAATATAGCACCGCAAATCTTTTTACTACTAATTTATTGTCATTGAGACAAAACAAGATGTATCGATGAAAAACTAATTAAACGCTCAATAATCAGTCTTGTATTGATAATAACGCTGTGTAGTAAGACATAGACATTCGTACCACCTTAAAATGAATGGATAAATTATATTGCAGATTAATATACATAACATTGTCATTAAAAAAGTGTCTTTACTGCGTCTTTTAATTACCGTTGCATAAGTCGCGATGGATAACGGAATCATATTGCCTGCTTTTAATTCGCATGGTGTACTACTTCTGTAAAGAGTTATTATCAATAAAGATTTTAGTCTAGGTGAGAACTTGTACCATTCTGCAGCATATCTGCAATCGTAAATTGAATAATTAACTTCAAGTTAAATTTTTAAGGGAAATTATTCTCACAAGTGGAAAATTGAAACAATTTTTTCAAGATGCGATTGTTAGTACGTGTAACATGATAAATACTTGAAAAGAATTTATTATTTTTTCAGGAGATATTATGCTGAAGGGGAAAATTAATACAATTTTTCCAGACGCGATTGTCATTACGTATAACATGACAGATGTGTGTGAGAAAAATTTATTACAAAAGAATTTTTAAAATTACTTAATTAAAAATTACAAGATTTTAAAGTACTTAAATTATTCGTTGCTTCTATATTAATCAAAATTTTAAATTATGTTTTTTATCAAAACTCTTTTAAATGGCAATGGTTAAATTAAATTTTACATTTAAGCAAAATCTTATGCTACGTTTATAGAAAAAATTATTGCTGCATAATTCTGTATGAAGAAAAGCTGCATAAACTCCAATACGTGTGTTATGGTATAAAATAATTATTACGCTCCATAGAATATATTCTGACTTTCATCCATTATTCTCTGTCCGGAGTAACATGTGATCAACAGACTACTCAATGATACCATTAATATAAGCACGAATTTTATCACTGTTTCCAATTGGTCTAATATATAAAGGATCTATAACAGATAAGAAGTATTACATAACTATTCACAATATATAATTACAGTATTATTTTAAATAAAGAACTTTAATTTTATAGAATGTAAATATTAGTAAGATTTTTGTATTAATATTTATTAGAGTTTTCAATAAATTGCGTTGAAAAAATTGTACATATAAATAGAAATTTAATCAAAATCAATCTGACTCGATCTCAAATGTATAGGAAATATAGAAATCCAGCTGTATAACAGTTTTTATTATTTTACATGATGGTGAATTTATATTCTATATATATTAGAAGAGAGTATATTACACGTTATATATGCAATTATAATACTTACTCGAAGTCCAATTACACTCATGGTTCCAATAACTATTATTAAAAAAGTTAATGCATATACCTGATACGATGAATTTAATACATCAACAAACCTACGGAATAGAAATAATGTTAGCAAATTAACTTTTGAGTATAAGCTGTAACATTATATCAATATCATATATAAAACCAAAATTGCTTACTTTATAGCAAGCTGATGTTTTTTTAAACATGT